TTCTTTACATGATTTTCATAATTTCATGAAATATTACGAATTATGGAATTAACGAATTTTATAGCATAATTGTAACAGTATAATAAAGAAACTTGTTAAAGAATTATAAAAATTCCTAAATATAAGCAATAATAATTTTATTTAATTATTGAAATTGTTAATATATATGATGATGATAAAGAAAATAATTAAATAAAAAATGAATATATCATACAATTATTAATATGCATGATGATAAGAAAATAATTGTATAAAAAAAGAATACATTGTATATGAAACAAGATATAATCATGACATTGCAGAATCACATTTATATCTACTATCATACTTATGCTAATATAAGAAAATAATTAAATAAAATAAAATAAAAAAGAATATACTGTGCATGACATGAGACAAAATCATGAAATTGCAGAATTTACTACTTCCCTAAATGCATATATACATTATATAAATCCTCTTTATATGTTTTCATTTAGTTCCAAGCTATATATAACTCCTTTTTTTGTCTGTTCTAACACTATGCATTTTAGAGTGTACATAACTGCATATGACAGTTTATGGTTGGATACTGCATATGACTGTATATAATTAAATCTTGATATAGAACCTGAGTCGGAGATCAGCAGATCACTGGACAATTCCCTGCATTCTGATACAGTTATACTAAACTAGTGCTCCAACCGGGCCAGGTTGGGATCAAACCCGACCCGAAATATTTCGGGTCAGTCTAAAAAACGTTATTTCTTGTTCAATATTAACGAAAATTTGTGGATAAAGACAGAGATGGTTACAATATAATAACATGCTGGTTATAGTAACATGATTTACTTGGTACAAAAAATTTTTTATGTTAATTCTTATTGGATAAAGTAACATTATTAATAACATCACCAAAACCTCTTTCCCGATCATGTTACTGTAACCAGAGTTGACTGTATACACAATTACGTTCCGAACAACTCTACTCAAGACACCAAATACAAGTGTCTTAGTAAAAATAAAAGTTATTAACGAAAAACTATTTTACGATTTACGGGTCAAACCCGACCCGACCCAAAATTTTCGGTTCGGGTTGACCTCAAATCTGACCCGAACAGAGTTTTATATGGTGCATAACATCTAAGTCATCAAACGTTTGTATTTATAAAATGTATAAACTTCTCAACTAAGAAGTAAATCAAAAATTTAAATCGTGAATATGATAGAATATGCCCTTTTTGATCATGTTCACGGATTAAATTTTGTATTAACTTCTTAATTGAGAAGTTTATACATTTTATAAAATATAAACGATTGATGACTTTAGATGTTATGCACCATACTAAACTTTATAACGAATATATTTAACTTTAAGATTTGCAAGCATTTTTTACATTCAAGCACTCTGTATTTTATTCATTAATAATGACAACAGTACTGTACGTATGTATTATATACACGTATCTGCTAGTGGAGTTCAAGTGCGAATCATTTCTAAACAGATTACACACGAAAGAAATACAGTGGCGGTCGCCACAAAGATCCGGAAATTTTACTTTTTTTATTGATTACATGATAATGAATGACTAGACTTACATGAAAATTTGTAAATATATGTTTCTTGATATGAAGAACTAATCTACTTAAGATATATTGGTATCTGTAAATAACCTTATTAAAAAGATCATTAAATTATAAAAAACTATAAACAACTATCACTAACATTTCAGATTTATTTCAAATTTATAAACAAGTTCTTTATAATTTAATAACAACAACTTATGATAACATAATAGAATAACTTAAAGTGAAGGTCCTTAGTCACCTCCATTGCTGCGCCACCGGCCAAATTTTCAGTTGTATATTAATTCCAAATCAGGTATTGATGGTCACTAATTTTTACTAAACTCAAAAGAGGGGAGAAAAAATTTTGACATTTATATTCAAATATATAATTGATAATATCTTGTTTCTTCATTATTAGTGTAAATCATTACTATATATATATATAGCGATAGCGATTGTGTTAAAGTACTCCGATCAGCGCTTTATGGTAGTTAATATACGGCCAAAAATTTCCAAACTAATATATAAACTTATAAAAAAATCCTTAATCTTTAAGAGTTATCAACTCAATAATCAGAATTTTTCCAGTCAAAAAATACGTAATATTCAAGAATAGTTAATGATCTATCAATTTATATATTTTCTAATTTTTGTAATCATAAGGAAGAATTCTGATAAAATTTAAATTCACTTTTTGTGTGATAACTAGTGACCTGCACTGTATATTTAGAAAGTGTAATAATAAATGTAATTACTAATAAATTTTGTAAAATACTTGATTTATAGATATCCAAATTATCAAGAAATCTTTACTGTGCTATCTTATCGAAATCCAGAATACATGTACATGCATACAAACACACACTTCCCATATACATGTACGTATAATCTCTTTTATTTATACACGACCATACAATTTATTACATGTGCTCTGTCGATGAATTAGCGTTAGCGTAGAATATCAGTACGATCTAAAATGAATGCTTTATCAAAATTTAGTTATTAATGAGTTCTTTACTATTCTTGATCTTTAATGTATGAAATTCACTTTGTGATAAATATAAATACATGCTAGCTTAGTATTACAATAAAAAAATATTGATTGCATGCACGATATGCGAGTATTTATATATTGGCATTAATTTTTTGAACTAACTACTGTAATATAACATTAAATGAAATTTTGGTTATTATTGTACAGGAACGAGACCATAAAAGAATACCGTAAAGAATTCTCAAAGATTGTGTCTAAATCTAGACTATTAAAGGATTGCTATGACATTATTACACGTTCTCACAAGCATTAACATCACTGGTGCAGCAGCGACGATAAAGCCATTTGAGAAACAGCACGCAAGCTTTAAGGAAGCGAAAGATTGCTATTGCAACTAACGACACAAGTAATTTCGTAGCTCTTTCAGTTATTATGTCTGCTGAAGCAGTGCCTTGGGCGTTTTTTACGGTAAAGATTTTGATGAGATAGCACATCAGAAAGAACTGGATAAAAGAAAAATATGTGGATATATTTCCAATGGCATCTTCCATCTCTTCTGTTAGCTCATCTTTTTTTAACAGATAGTACAGATGTTCTTTGCCTGAAATAAAATCCATCGTATTGTTGTGTCTATTCGGAAGTTTGTTTAATTAGCGAAAAAGATCACAACGCATCGTTTATGAGCTAAACTGAATG